TTTTTTTTTTTGAGTTGGAGTCTCACGCTGTCGCCCAGACTGGGGTGCAGTCGACCTGCTGGGCTCCAGCGACCCGTCCGCCTCAGCCTTCCAAGTAGCTGGAACTACAGGCGTGCGCTACCAGGCCCGGCTAATTTTTTTGATTTATTGTAGAGACAAGGTCTTGCCAAGTTGCCTGGGTAGGTCTCGAGCCTGCCGGCTCAGGCAATCCACTCACCTCGGCCTTCTAAAGTGCTGAGATTACAGGCTGAGCCACTAAGCCCGGCCCTACACAAATTTTTAAAAGAGAGGCCAGAAACCAGGCTCGGTAGCTCAGCCTGTAATCCCGCGTCTTTGGGAGGATGAGGTGAGTGGATTGCCTGAGCCTGCGGGTTCGAGACCCGCCTGGGCAACTTGGCGAGACCTCATCTATACAATAAATCAAAAAATCAGCCGGGCATGGTAGCACGCGCCTGTAGTTCCAGCTACTTGGAAGGCAGAGGTGGAAGGATCGCCAGAGCCCAGCAGGCCGAGGCTGCGGTGGCTGGGAGCGGTCATTGCACTCCAGTCTGGGTGACAAAGTGAGACTTCAAATAAAAAAAAAAAAAAAAAAAAAGGCCTGTAAATCAAACGGAGACATACTGCCCTAATTGGAAAAGAAGAAATCACAGAAGCCTCAATGTTGAGTGGATGACCATGCACAGGTGAGCCCTCCCAGTCAGGACTCTTTCCTTCACAGTCAATTCCCTCAAAGACTACAGGGCAAAGCAAGCAGGTGGTTAAGCAACTTTGTACATAAAAAACGATCCTTGTATGCTACAGCTGTCAGGATTTGAAAGTTGCCTCCCTTGTTGGGGGGCAGGGGAGTAAGAAAGGAAGGGATTCTTTCCAGAACAGGTGTCTACGTGAGCGGGAGGAGCTGAATGGGGACCAGGGACAAGGGGAGGAGGATACTCCAAAGTCAGATTGATGGAAAAGATCAAGGAGCCTTCTGGGGGCTGTAGACACAGCACAGCGTCCGGGATAAGCATGAGTTTAAGTAAATGCAGAGTTGGGAGAGGAAAGGCAAGACTGAGGACTTCAGTTGCAACAGCTGGTGAAGGAGGCCGAACCTTACTCTACTGCTGAAGGTTTTGTTTTTGTTTTAAATAAAGTGATGTGATGAAGGAAATGCTTTAAAAGATGTTTCCGGGTACAAGGTTCAGATGAACCGGAGGGTGGAGAGGCGAACAGGAACAACACGGACTATCATAAAAATCCCTGGGGAGAAAAGGACCTGAACTAAGATGACAAGCTATAAGCATTCCCTCCCCAAAATCCATCTTTTAGTGAGAGTGAACTCATCACTTTCAAGATCTCGTGACCTCTCAATCGTATTTAAACGAGGGTTATAATCTCAGACTCCCCACGCTCGGGACCAAAAATAAACAGAGCGATTTCCGTGGTCAAAGGATTACTTGGCCTCGGATTTGAAGCCTTCAGTTTCCTGGGCTGGAGACCAGACGGCCGGTCCTGCACGCACAAAGAGTCAGACCCCTCAGCCCGGACCCCTCCCGAGTCCCTGTCCCCGCAGATGCGCGCCAGCGTTGCGGGCCTAACAACGACGCGGAACCCGAGCGCGTGAGGGTGTCCGATTTCCAGCCGGGCGTCCTGAGAGGATCCGCAGAACGAGCGCCCTCAGCCCGGGCGGCGGCAGGGGGAGACACGCCGGCCTCGCCGCGGAGCCCCTGC